TCACCAAACGGTTCATTGATATTTAACATATCTCTAGAACTCCGGGCATTGTTTCGATCATTTGACACTTAGCCATAAACGCTTCATCCCATATTATCAATTATGCTTTCCTTTTAAATTTAGCACCATTGCTCTGCTTTGTTATATTTGTGATGGTTACTTTAGTTGTTTGAAGAGGTATATCAAGTCTAAAGTGAGTGACCTCATAATTAAATCCTTGTTGGTACACCACTTGTTATTATTGCTAACAGTATCATGCATGTTGATATGATATTTGCAAGTAATGCACGACACAGAAAAATTATTTCGATTTTGCCGAAGGCATCTATAAAGGATGACCCCCCTATACCAGAGTCGATTCTTTATAATATAATTTTGAACGCTTGTTCGTGTTCAAGATTTAGCTTTGATTGTGCTTCTCCAGACACTTGTATGACCATTTGATTCTTAATACTTTATTGACCCTTTTTACTTTGTGATCTATTTTTTTTTAATCTCAAAGCTCTTTTTATAGAATAAATTTATGTACCCTAAATTTTTTTTTACTTGAAAAATAATTTTACTCATATAATGAATTTAAAAATAAATGAATTGGATTCTCTTGTTAAATAATTAATTGAAAGATTTAATTATTTGGTCTTAACATAAGAAATAATTTATTTTATGTTAATTAAATTCTCCATCTCTTCTTTTGAATATTTAATCTTAAATATAATTTTATCTATCATAAATTTTATTTTCAAAAATTAAAAAGATTGATCTAACATTCCACTTTTAGATCTTTATAATTTGCAGAATTATTACTACTATTGACTCTTATGAATCATTTTTCTTTCTCTTTCTTAAATATTTTCTCAGTTGTTGTTTAATAATTGGTATATTTTTCAATATTACACGGAAATTGATAACAAAAAATATTATTTGAGTAGGAAAATAGTTCAAATATAATATAAAAATATACTGTGGGGATTTTTTTCTTCTCAATTTCAACATTTTATGCCGTTAATTTAACATTACTTTTATCTTTTCTTGGATTGAACATTATGAAATGGAATGTGTTGCCAATACGGAGGATCCTTATGAAATTGATTTTATTAAACCTTCCTACATATTTTTAATAAGAATGTAATAGACAAAATTTTACTAATTTTAAAATCTTAAGTATTAAAAAATTAACATATAAGGTATTGTAGTCCAAAAAATAGGTTATGTAGTTATGTCCTTTCCCTGTGAGCTCTTCTGTTTAATATTTTATGGCTATTTTGGTCTATCAATATTATATTTGTGCTTTTATAATAATATATAGAAGATATAGATAGATATAGACTCTTTTTTTTTCTAAATAAATTTGAAAAATATAATACATTATCAAATTATATTAATAACGGACATTATAATAAGCTTTCAAATTAAATTAGTAATGGGAATTTCAAATTACCCGAATAAGAGATATGTCCTCTATATATATATATATATATATATATATATATATATATAGATCAAATTAGAGCACTTTTCTTTGACGTGTTTTTCGTTTTCATGTTTTAAATGCTTGGGAAATAAACTAATGCATATACATCAACTTAATTTTTATATTCTAACTATATTGTGAAGTCCGAAATTATAGAATATTATTCTTTGAAATATTTGGCGTGAAACTACTTACATTTTTTAATTGTGCCAACTTAATGCTCATAGGTTAGGTGAGATCGTGGGATTCATCATGAAGGATTCCTAATGTGTAGTATTATGTCCTAAAATTAATAGGATTACAAGGCTAATGTCTAGAATTCTGATTATATCTTTTTACTATAAGTTATTATGCTTATATTATAAGTTTTTTTTTTTTTGTAAAATGACAATGTATTCATGCTTTTATAAATATATATATATATATATATATATATTATACATAAATTACACATATACTAATTTTTTTATTAATTTAAACATTGTATGAATAGTTATTTAAGTTAATTCTTCCTAAAATAACAAGCAATTACCAATGAGAATCGAACCATTAGGGCACAGAAGGCAGCAAATCCTAGGCCCATCAGGAAAGCCTGAAAGCGAAGCCCAAACAAAGAGCCTTTTTAACGTCACTACGTTCTCAGAGGAGTCTCTCTATTGCCGCAGTGAAACCCTAGAAGCAGAGGAAAAAGCAAAGGGAGAGAAGAAAGGAAGCAGTAACAATGGCGGCTACACATGAAGTAAGAACACTGACGACGAAGGAGGCTGACATACAGATGATGTTGGCTGCTGAAGTCCATCTCGGCACTAAGAACTGCGACTTCCAAATGGAGCGTTACGTCTTCAAGCGCCGCAACGACGGTAATACTCTTTACCTCCGTTGTATAATATTCGCTTTTTCACTCTATCTAGATCCATGATGTTAAACCACTACCTCTTAGCTATATCAAAATAGTTGGTGTTTGCATAAGGTATAATTCTCCAGTATTTTTTGGTGCCGGTATCAGAGGATTTGGTGATTGAGATACCCTTGGTTAAGCTGCTACATTTGTAAAATAGGATATTAATACGTATTAGCGGTTTGAAGAAAAATATTAGATCCATATACCTAGAGGAAAGCAGCAGCTATCCCTGAATGAAGTAAAGTATTCCCGACTTGTTCGTGAACGGTTTGTTTTTCTTAGTTATGCTCGGAAAACAAATACTTTGACCTTCAAGTACTAGCACATTCAGGCCATCAATGTGCGGCGCATTCTGCTTATTATTATATATTTATTTGTGTATACACTATGCTGTGAGTTTTCATTTCTAGAAAGATAGCTGATTTGACACAATGAAATTATTTTGTAATGCTATCTTAGATCATCTTTGATTCTTATATATATTTGTTCATTTATTAAGATTACGAGATTAATTAGATATGATAAATTATTTAGCGTTATGGTTTTCTTAGCTTGGGTTATCATTTGACTTCATAATCATGGTATTAGCAAAGTGATATATTCACTGGTTTGTCAATCTCTCTATATATCTTGACTGATCTTTATTCCTTAGGTATCTACATTATTAACCTTGGGAAGACATGGGAAAAGCTGCAAATGGCTGCAAGAGTTATTGTTGCTATTGAGAATCCAAAGGACATAATTGTGCAATCAGCCAGGCCCTATGGACAGAGAGCTGTCTTGAAGTTTGCTCAATACACTGGCGCAAATGCCATTGCTGGACGTCACACTCCCGGTACTTTTACCAACCAGCTTCAGACTTCATACAGCGAGCCACGACTCCTCATTCTCACTGACCCAAGAACTGATCACCAGGTTGATATTAATTTCTGTAACATCACTTGTTTCCTTTTGGCATGTTGACTATTTATAACAAGCTTGAGTCCTTTGCTTGCAGCCTATCAAGGAAGCTGCACTTGGGAACATTCCTACTATTGCTTTCTGTGACACTGATTCACCGATGCGCTATGTTGACATTGGTATCCCCGCCAATAACAAAGGGAAGCACAGTATCGGTGTTCTTTTCTGGCTCTTAGGAAGGATGGTACTGCAGATGCGCGGTAGCATTCCTCAGGGACACAAGTGGGATGTCATGGTAAGGGCTTACTGGAAGCATTTCTATTCTCTCATAAAGAAATTCCTAGCTAGTGTACTGATTTTAGTTGCTCTTCTGAAGTTAAAATTCAAGTTCCATTTGCATTATTTTTGTATTTTGTTGTGGTTAAACATCTATTTTTCTCATATTTAATTTCTTTCTGCTGTAGGTGGATCTCTTCTTCTACAGAGAGCCTGAAGAGGCAAAGGAACAGCAAGAAGAGGAAGCACCTGCCATTGCAGATTATGCAGAGTACGGTGGTGCTGCCCTTGGTGGCGATTGGTCTAGCAACCAAATCCCTGATGCTCAATGGGCTGCAGATGGCGCACCTGCTGTTCCTGCAGTTGCTAGTGGCTGGTCTGGAGATGGAGGTTAGTGTCATATTTTGTGGTATTAGTTTTTTAAATCCATTGGTCACAGGTGCTTTGGGAAGACGTGGCTTTGTATTCTTTATCTTTTTGTTTTCCAATGTTTTAATTTGTCTGCTTTTTATGGGAATCTGATTGATGTCTGAGTTTCTGAGATTCTCTTAGTTTGAGATCTCTTGTGCCGGCCTCTGCTGATTTTATGTACTTTTTCTTCTATTATAACTCCATATTGTCATGTTTTTCAGCGGTAGAGGGAGGTTGGGACGCTGCAGCTGCTCCTCCTGCTCAAGTTGCTCAAGTTCCTGGAGCGGAAGTGATCCCTGCTCCTGCTTCTACTGGCTGGGAATGAGACCTGCTTCCTTTAGAAAGTTCTTTTTGATTAAGATTAGATAATGTGAGTTTCTATGACAGACGGTTTTGTTCACAATGCAAGTTATAAAATTTTGGATTTGGTGATGTACTAAATTATTTTTAATCATTTGTAGCATGTCTTTCCAGTTTAACTTTTCTTGAGAACCTTTTTATGTGATCAAGCTTTTGGATAATCGTAGAGGTGGGCAAAAGTTCTACTAATCGGTTCTGCTATGTGAATTACTCGACAACTATTTTGAGTGAGTTAGAACTGTGATTGATGCAGTAAAACGGTGTGATGCAGTAACAAGTATATCCCAGCTATAATATTCATTTCTGTCATGTGCTTAGAGGGTAAGAAGTTCCCTACATCTAAATTGCCATAGCGGTTTGCTTAAAGCCGTTTCTGTTTTCTTTCACTTAAAAGTTTTTTGATTGTTATGTAGTTAGCGAAAGTTAATATAATTTAGTGTTGATTATTTCCAGCTTTAACCTTTTCCAGGTTATATCTTTTTGAATGAAGTTAAAAAATGGAGCGTGTCTCTTGCGTTATGTATAGTCGTATTCTCCTAATTTTTTCAGATCATCCTGTCTCAGTACTTCGCTTGGTTTTGCAATTCTCTACTTTGGCACGAGCCATTTATTACCTTAGCTATGCGATACCGAAAACTCAATATTTATGAACGTGCAACATGGAAGTGCTACGCTTATTGCTAAATGAAAAGAAAATGATAATATTGCTTTTCCATTGTTACGTGCTTCTTTGACGACCTCTTTGTATCGACTAACAGCAAATGTGGACAGTCGGAATCATTACCATTTTTCTGATCAGGAGTTTAAAGCAAGTAAACTTGTATGTGACTATGTGTGGTTGAAATGGGTTCCTATTGGGATTTGACCTTTAGTTTTACAACTGAGAAGAGAACTTTGTCCAACGGGATCAGGCCCCATGACTGAGTATGGAGCCTTACTTTCCTTAAGCTGTTTCACATGGTCATGTGCTATTGAATTGTGCAACTGAAACTTGTGTATAGCCTAACAAAATAGCCCTTTGGAAATACTGACCTATGTTTTCCCTTGTGCAATCAAACTGAACTGAGGAAACTGCAAATTTATGAATATTCCTTGTGGCTTCTCATCCTTTCCACTAAGTGTCTCCCCTTCTCTTCTATGTGACGCTTCTTCTCTTCAAGTTTTTCTCCCATTTTTTTCCGCAAACCATGCATCCTAGCCCTTGTCCCTGTCCTTTTTGGTTTCATATCATCTTCTGTAAAATGATTTTGTTCCTCTAGCATACTCAGTGAATGAGAAGGTGACATGCTATGCCTGTTCTCTGAGCTCATGCGATGAGTCTCTCTCTGTTCATCGTGCTTCAGCAAGGGGGCATGCAAATCTGATGAAGATTGGCTCTTATGAACTGATAAATAAGCCTGTGGATCTGACAACCTGCCTTGTTGTGTATCTCCGTGATGTTTCCTGGGATTTACGTGCTTTCTTTCTGGACTACTAGTGAGGCTTCTGCTGTTGAAACTAGGCTTACCCCTAGGAACTGAGCAGAATATGTGGGGATCCAGTGACTTACTTTTTTTGCTGCCCCATCCAACTCCGTTAAGTCCTCTTTCAGCAATACTTCTCCTATCGGCTTCAGCTATTTGGGTTGTGTCGATGCGTGCTTCTGGTTTTCTGGCATTACCTGCAGATTTGTTATTAATCCATATATATGGAGCATCTTTTACGGGAACCCAGTCATCCTTTTCTGCTATCATCCAAGGGATGCATACATTCTCACAGTGTGGAAGTACGACAGTTTCACGAATAGCAGCCTGCATCAGTTGTAAAAAGCACCAGCTCAACCTCTAAGAAACTTTCACCAATGTTTTCATAGTATATCCAAATTTAAGAAAAATAACAATATATATGGGCCATGTCCATTGGTGTAGAATCTGGAAATTGATTCCTCCATTAAGTTGGTTTTTCTATAGTAGTCAGCGTGGTTTGCAAAAATTTCCCGTCATTAAATACATTGTTCCGACAAAAAATAGAAGGAAAAGGAACTAAAAATAATAGAATGGTTAAACAAGCTTGGTGTATTCTACCTGCACTCTCTCTACTGGAGCATATAAAGTGTCATCATTCTCTCTCTCTCACCTAAACGAAAGTAACCGGATCACTCTCCTATGCCTTGCATAGGCTCGAAGTAGTACCCTCTTTTTCTTCAGTTCTCTGACTAGACACTGCAATTATCTATCTGAAACCAATTTAAAGTTTCACCTAGACAAATGTCACCTTGTGGATCTTTTGAGGTGGATACTTCGACTGTGCCAGCTACAGCCAAACAGCTGTTATGGTGCTTTAAGTTTGGAAATCAGGAAGGAGAAGAATAAAAGATGGGGAATAGCACTCTCTTGTATGAGATTTTTGGTTGGTAGTCAGGAGTGGGGAATGGATAATTGTCTCCTAAATATCAGCTCATTTTTTCCATACATTGTGCCTTTGGCATTCACAGCAGTCACAAGCTTGTGTAGCTGACTGGCGACCTCAATTTACTTGATGAACAACATTCAAATAATAGAAAAGATTAGTTTTCAAACTAACCTTAATTCGACTGATTAGGAACAAAGAAAGGTGTCCACTTGAGATCTTACGATCACCAACAGAAGAGTTCAAATGGATGTCAATATCTGGCATCGATGTGAATCCAAACCATATCTGATCTGAAGGTGGTGGCTTTACATACAACCTCAATGTTCCTCGTAGAGATGCAACCCTAATCCCCAGCGAGAGTGGAACCTGAATGTTGAAAATACAATTGGTTAGAAATCGACAAGCTTCTTCCACTTGTTACGGCAGATGAACAAAAGACATACTCCTATAAGATTAGACCTTCCATTCACTACTGCAATAGGAAAAAGTCAGTGAAGCACAAGTCTCATGAAAGTACAATGAGTCGATCCCATTTTCATTTGTGATCCATTTCACCACATTTTATTTCCCACCTTGTGTCCTCATTTTAACTGCCTTACTCTATTCTGATCAACTAACAAAACAACAACAATAACAACAACCCAGTGAAATCCCACTAATGGGGTCTGGGGAGGGTAGTGTGTACGCAGACCTTACCCCTACCCCGAAGGGGTAGAGAGGCTGTTTCCGAAAGACCCTCGGCTCAAGGGAACAAAAGGACAAAAGCAGATAATATTAGTATCACCACAGAAATAATAAGAAAAATTATGAACATGGAATCTAGAAGAAAGAAGCGAAGTAAAGCGATAGCTATTAAATACATCATGCACTGAATTAGTAAGACACAACAATGGCACTAGCTATCTTAGGTAAAAACCCTACCAGACTAGTCTCGCAAAGGTATAAGTAAGGCAAGACTCAACTACCTCCTAACCTACAACCTTAATACTCGACCTCCACAACTTCCTATCAAGTGTCATGTCCTCGGAAATTTGAAGCCTCGCCATATCATGTCTGATCACCTCTCCCCAATACTTCTTAGGTCGCCCTCTACCTCTTCTCCTCCCCTCCACAACTAGCCGCTCGCACCTCCTTACCGGAGCATCTGGACTTCTTCTCTGAACATGCCCGAACCATCTGAGCCTCGCTTCCCGCATCTTGTCCTCAATGGGAGCCACTTGCACCTTCTCCCGAATATCATCATTCCTAATCTTATCCATCCTAGTGTGCCCGCACATCCACCTCAGCATCCTCATTTCTGCTACTCTCATCTTCTGGGTATGTGAGTTCTTAACAGGCCAACACTCAGCCCCATACATCATTGCCGGTCTAACCACCGCTTTATAGAACTTACCTTTGAGAATCGGTGGCACTCTCTTGTCACACAAGACTCCAGATGTTAACCTCCACTTCATCCATCCTACCCCAATACGATGCGTGACATCCTCATCGATCTCCCCTCCCCCTGGATAATCGACCCAAGGTACTTGAAGCTTCCTCTACTTGGAATGACCTGTGATTCAAGCCTCACATCCACGCCCACTTCCCCCGGCTCAGCGCTGAACTTACACTCCAGGTATTCCGTCTTCGTCCTGCTTAGCTTGAAACCCTTAGACTCAAGAGCTTGTCTCCAAACCTCTAGCCTCTCGTTAAGACCGGCTCGCGACTCATCAATCAGAACTATGTCATCGGCGAATAGCATACACCATGGCACCTCCCCTTGAATATGGTGCGTTAACGTGTCCATCACCAAGGCGAATAAGAACGGACTGAGTGCAGAACCTTGGTGTAACCCCATTACAACCGGAAAATGTTCAGAGTCTCCTCCTACTGTCCTAACCCGAGTCTTAGCCCCATCATACATGTCCTTGATCAACTAACAAAGAGAAGATCAAAGCCAACTGAATGACATGAGTTTTAGTTCCCTTCTTTCAGTAGCAAAATAAGAAGGACATTATTATAGAAAATATGTGCAAAAGCTCAAGAAAGCATAAAATACGAACTAACATTTTCACCCAAATATACTAAGAGTAAAGCATCAATTTACTTCTCATGCGCACTATTCAGAGAATTATGCAATCGGTTCAGAAGTATCGTAAGAACTCTAGTCTGCTTCAGCTGTTGACATCTACCAGCGAGATAGATATTTAAACAGAAAAGAGCTAGGAAGTCAATTTAGGGAAAAGCAAGGTTGAATTGCTAGAGATAAGCAGAATATTGTAACCAACCTGTGAAACCTGCTTGGCCACAGAATGTAAAATTGATTTCCACTTTGATCCAGGAGGTGAGCCACTAGGTATGCCATTAGAGCTTCTACTCGCGTTTGAAACACCTGATTGATATACTTCAGATTACTAACTGATGAAAACATAATTATTTTCCCACAAGGAAATAATTAAAATAATGGACAAGTTAAAAATAAATTTACTTTTCTTTAAAAAACAATTAACAATAACAGGCAACTACTACACCCGAACATTGAATTATTCGGATTAACTAACCCAAATTTCAGAGCATAAAAAAGATAAAGTGGTTTTGCTACATACGTGCTGGTGTATCAGCTCCATCTCTTTGGTCCATCTTATCCACGTGGTCGTCCGAGTGCTTAAATTGTTCATCAAAGTCCTCAAAACCTTCTAACAAGTCTGTTTTGACATCATCAACAGCACTTGAATCTACACTTGCATCGTCTCCTTCATGTAAATCGAGGTCCTGAACTTCAAGCCTAGTCTCGAGATCCAATATTGCACCACCAGAGTACTGAACATCAATTTCAAAAGCCCAGACCTCGTTCATGTCTGAGGGAAGAACCCTCATTGCATGTATATAGGGAGGGAGGTAACCAACATCAACAGCTGCGCAGGTTACTTCACCAATGTAACTGGGGCTACGAATATTGGAGAGCATTCTCTACAAGTAAAGACCACACTGAGTTATAGCTTATTAAGACAAAGCAAATTTCTCTTCTAAGTGATTGTAAAACTGTGTCACATTAAAATGTACATGCACGCGAAGCTTCAAAGCAAAATGCATTAAACAACTTCTCGCCCTAAACTGATAACTTCTCTCAGTATCATACAAAAGTTCATTTTCTTACACACAAAACATGCAGCTGACTTCAAATGCTTTAGGATTGAGCTGTAGTAGTAATACTAGTAATTTTGGTTAATGTCCGCGAAAAGCAAATACAAGCAAGTCAATCTCTACCTTAGTCAACTAAAAAAGGTTTAAAAGAATGACAACAAATAAGTTACTTTACATCTCAATATCTCATAATGAATAAAAAAAGGAGATGACAAACCTGAATCCGTTCTTGCAAAGAACTTTTCATCTGCTCATTTCTTTTAGCATCAAAGAACAACCGTGATATTAACAAATTCCAACAAAGGGATCCTTCATCACAAAAAACCTTGTCATCAGAATCTGCATCAGAAATGACGGAGCCAGTAGAGGATACAATGGACGAAGGCGCTATAACATCCTCATTGCAAAAATCGAGAGGCTTTCTTGTTGAAGCAACCTTCATAACACCACTGGCCAAGTCAAGATCTTGGAACAAATGAGTTTTCTCACTCATCTTACGTTCTTCATATCCTGATTTTGAACTGCAGCTTGCCTTATTTTCTGGAGCATTCTTGCTAGTTTTCTTGGCAAACTTTTTCAGAAATTGACGAACTTTTGATGAGGAACCATCAGGCTTGCTTGATTTATCAACTAATTCCGCACCAAAACTAGAAGATGGTTTCATAAATGAAGGATATCCTGCATTTAGTCTTGTCAGGTAATTCCGGAACTCTAAGTTTAACTTCGCCAACCATTTTAGTTTTTCTTCATCCTCGCTAGAAGCAAGACGAAGGGCTTTGCACCATGATTCCTTCTCCCAAGACGTCTCAAGGTAAATGTAAAATATACTACTTCCTTTATATATAGCAGATGCTCCGCTCTCAATTTTAATTGGGTACTTTTTTGCCCTGTAACAAAATTGAAGCACTAAGCTATCGGTGTTTATCCTTTCCAATAAGATAATTAAAGAAGCATTTTACTTAACGCATGGCAGAATTTTTTTACAAGATATACAAGATAATTTTCTAAGTAAAAGGTTTTCCTTAACTACCTTTTCTAATGAAGTTAAAACCTGTTTGAATACTGATTACATCTTGGAATTCTAAGATAAAATTGCTTGATTTTGAAATGGAGTTGTTCATAAAAATGCTAGAACAAAGGAGTACTCTGTAGTATGTAGATATTTCGACCTTCCGTACTTGAGGTGAGTAACTCAAAAGTACCTAGCATCTATGTTGCTCGGACTCACCGAAAATGTTGCCGGGTGTGTGTCGGATCCTCCAAAAATGATCCGACACGGGTGCGGCATCATTTTGGAGAGTCCGTGCAACATAGCCTAGCATAACAACGCATAATTCAAAAAGGCAAAGTCAATAATGTTCCAGCTTACCATTTTCTAGAGGACAAGATTGAAGCAGAAACAGCCGCAACCATGCAACCTTTGAGTGGAATTTCAGTACGGGAACCATCTGATTCTGTTAGAATGAGAGAGTGATCCTTGATTTTACCAAATTTCCGAACAGGTATTACCTCTAAGATCTCTTTCTGGGCCTTTTGCTGCTTTGTAGCTTTGTCCCCATTGGAAACTTTTGGGATTCTTTCAGATTCTAGAACCCATACTATCCCCTAGGAGACAAAAAATTCATAATATTCTATAAGTTAAACTGATCAAGTCCATAGAGGAAAGAGGGAATGGTGCTTGAATAGGAAAAGAAAACTCAATCTGAATGATACAATACTAATAAACACGAGCATTTGGACCAGACATGTTACCAGACAAATATCCGCACAAAATTATAAATCCCAACTGCAAAGCATTGCTGATTAAATAATAATCTTCTCACTCATTATGTATCATTCATTTAACAATAATTATAACATGATTTCTTCATCGTTTTCTAATGTAGCGGATGATTTGAGTACTGCACTTGAGTTTCAATCTGTTATATATATATATTGTTAGAAGGTCAGTAACATTAAAAGCAAATTTGTCTGGTCCATTTACTCCTTTGATACATCGTCAAGAACCATTTATATACTCAGAGAAGGGAAAGATGACTGAATGCTGCTAATAATCATTGAAGTGTACACAATTCAATTTCATTAGTAATAATCTACTCATCAACAATATCAGATTACTGAGACCTTGGGCATTCTTACAACCTCCTGTTATGGTCTTTACTCTTTACGAGAATCGAGATTATATTTAGAATACTCTCAGGACTCTAGAAGCACAAAATTTACTTTGAAGTATTAGTAGAATAGTAGTACAACATTGAGATGGTCTCCACTAGAAAGCCTAGAAATGAAAATTTTGACAAAAAAAGTATTGTGCTCCAAAGATATCCGGTTTGTCTGTTGCAAGTTTGGTTCTTTATACAACAACTAGCACGCCTCAATCCTCGATCTTGGCCTAATTCTGCAGACTCTATGATGAAATAATGACTAGTAATTATTCAATACCAGAGACCGAGTACTTGTGACCAGCGACCACTCAACGGAGCCTCAAATCAAGCCCTATACCACTCGATGCTCGTTACATTCACAATCCAAATACTCAATTCAGACAACAACATGAAGAGAATAAACCACCTTAAAATGGGGGCAAAGTGAAAAGAGTACCAAGTAACGGTATCAACAAATCACATACTCCATCTGTCTCAATTTATATAACACATTTTCCTTTCTAGCCTGTCTAAAAACAGTGAAACCTATAAACTTTTTATTCTACACATAATTATAAATGTCTTAGCTTATTTTAGATCACAAATTTTAAAAGTCTCTCTTTTCTCTTAAACTTCGTGCATAGTCAAACGTGGACCCAAAATTAGTAGAACAACAACATAAAAAAAATAAGCAAAAAAAGAAAAGTGATACCTGCCTGCTTCTTGAAGAAAGAGGGATCAATATCCCCAGCAAAAGGCAACGACTCTTCAGTTGTTTTCCCTTTACCTTCTTGACGAGAAACTCTTCTCATAAAACACCATATCAATATTACAATTCCCACAGCTTCCACTGCAAGAACCGTTACCCCTCCAAGAACAAACACCGTTAACAGCAACATCATCCTTTTTGGTCTGAAATTCTCCCCCGACAAGAACAAGAAATTCACCAAATTTTGCAATGTCAGTACAAACCCATTTTTTAGACGAATCTCCAATTCAATAGGGGAGAAAAGCCAAAAAGGAAAGGCAAAGCAGTTATTGGAGACACGATTCCTCATGCAGGGCGAGAGAGAAATGGGCGCTAAAGGTTTGCTGTAATTAGAAGCAACCGTTAACAAACTTGGCGAAAGTTACGCTTATATTTTATGTTTTATTCTAATAGAAAATAGTACTTCATCCGGTCCCTTTAATTAATTTTTTTTTTTTTACTACTTTTCTGCCTATTAAGGAATTCATTTTTAGTATTAATTTATAATAAAATCTAACATATTAATTTTAATTTATTTATTAAAAATACAATAAATACTCTTAAGTTATTTACTACAAAGATAATTTAAAAAAAATTATATTTTAAAAAAGCAAATATTATAAATTATAAAAATAAATTAAAAAATTAATTAAAATGGACGGGAGGAGTAGGGTATATGTAAGACCGATCAACCTTGGACTTGCACGCCAAACGGAGTTGCGGTATTCGATGTTTATAAATCAAAAAACAATCATCGTAAGTCGAAAGTACACACTATTTTGTTATGCTTCCAAAAAGAAAGGAGTCAGCGTTCAATGTTAACTTACTTAGCGAAACTGACACTTGGATGTGGACAAAATAATTGCTATTTTGATCCCCGGATCATATTATTACTTTGGGAAAAATACGTATTGTGATCCCTGAAATATTATGTTGTTTCAATTTTGGTCCTTTTGTTTGTGGGAAAAGGGCCAAATGTACCCCTTTACTTTCAGATATTGTCTATATTTAATCTCCGTTATACTATTCGGACAAATTTATCCCTAGTATTATACTATCCGGCCAAATTTACCCCTACCATCAATAAACTTTTACTAATTATCCCTTAGTCTGTTAGGTAACCCAAAATTTCTCAAATCCCTTTTATTTAAATCACTTATTCTTCTTCTTGATCCACTATTTTCAGATTGATCCGAATGCTAAAGGTACTAAACTATATTGCACCCAATTCTCTTCTTGTGATAATGATTTGGAACTGGTTTAAAATTTTTATAATTTTCAACCATATACACACACCGCAGAATCCAGTGGGTATATTTGTTGTGTATTATATGTGGCTGCTCATCATGTATGTACATGTGTATTCAAATATATTTTGTAATTATCTGGTTAGTATAGAGTTCGGTCGACTAACTGAAGAATGCACAAAGCGTATGCATTTGATTAAAGCAAAGTTGAATTCGACAATACAAAGTCTCTAAGGAACTTCAACTTTTATCACTAATACTTGCAAAGTCTCCATACCAATGGTGCAACGAATTCATTAAAGTTGGAATGTTGTAAAGACATTTGAAATTTAGACAAGCTACCTAATTAAGATTTTTCAATTTACTATGCTTTGCCAACTAATCGCAGCATTATTTTAATGTTTTTTTCTCTTATTTTTATCAATTAAAAAAGCAAATAAATGCCAACTATTTTATAAATAGTGGATCAAGAAGAAGTATAAGTGACTTAACTAAAATAACTTGGGAGATTTTGAGTCACCTAACAAACTGAGGGGTAATTTTTAAAAGTTTGCTGATGGTATGGATAAATTTGGCTGGATAGTATAACGATAGGGATAAATTTGACCGAATAGTATAAAGGAGGTTATATATAGACAATATTTGAAAGTAGAGAGGTAAATTTGGACATTTTCCCTTTATTTGTTGTCTATATATTTAATCTTTTATTAATTTAAATGTGTAAATTCTGATCCTTAAAATTACCTGAAGTATAATTGTATAGTGTAAAATCGGTTCATATTAAATACACATACAATAGAGCGACATGTGGAACCGGAGACAAACGAAAAACGAGACAGGTGGAAACCAAGACCGGGGACAGTAGCTTCGGTTGGCACCGGAAAACCTCCGAAGGGAATATTGCTAATGAAGAAAAACGAATACATGCCACCCGATATCATTTAATGAAGAATATTCTATAGTATTAAATACACAGTCCGTTATAGAGAATTTTGGCATTCATAGTCTACCGTTACACATTCTTCAATGACCCCCATAATTGTCACTTAAGAGGGGCTTGATCCGAGGACCTTATTCCCAAGGTGAAACTATAAATAGTGACTTCAATAGCCATTGTAAAGGGGAGGAATTTTCTGGCAAACTTATGTTGTATACTATTCAAGAGTTCAATAATACTTTATTTCTTGTCTATTGATATTTATATTAATGCCCTCGGAAGCTCTGCTCCCGAAAATAGGCTATTTGCTGCCTTATTTCGATTTCAATGCTAAGTCTTGTATTTTTATTTAATTCATTTATCATTTTGGTATCAAATCGATTCACTTGTCTATAAACCACGTATATATTCAATTGTATCATTTTATGGATAAACAGTTTGGCATCCACCACGGGGCTTAGACAGTTGCATAATTGGATTGATTGTTGCATCTATTACTAACCTGTTTAATTCTTTGTTTCTTAGCGAAAAATCGTAAATAAGGGAAGATAACAATGTCAACATCACGCGCGACGTTGAGGCCCAAGAAAATTCGCCTCAACACGAAGATTAGATCAGCGATCTCGCAACGAGGGGGATGAAGCCACACTGGTCCATGGCGGGCAGTATCTACGATATGTTCGAGAGGCAACTCCTGATGATGTTGAAGACGAACACGTTTCAAAAATAGCGAGAATCCTGAGGGAACAACAAAAGGATATTATGGTCCATCTCTCGCGACAAGATCAAGTCATGACAGAGTTGAGGCAATCGTTGTCGGGTGCTTCCAACAATGTGAATGGAAGAGGTCCAGTTCCTCCCGGTGCTCTTAAAAACCAAACAACACAAAGGGTTGACAACAACACCCCGAGGGGTGAGGTCGGTTTCGACAGGGACAGGGGGGGGGGGCAATGGATCTAGTAACAATAACAAAAATAATCCTTTTAAAACTGAACTCATGCGGTTTATGACGAAAATAAATGCCCGAATGGATCAAATCCCGAGCGCACCGTCGGTGTTGAAAGGACCGAACTCAAAGAAATACACCCAGTTGCCGTTCGAACCAAGCACAACGCCAGAGTTAATCCCAAAGCGATTCAAAATGCCATACGTGCCAAAATACGATAGAACCTCGGATCCTCAGGAGCACATCACCACCTATACAACGACGCTAAAAGGGAAAAACTTAGCTCCGCACGAGATTGAGTCCGCTTTACTGAAGATGTTCTGGGAGACCCTCAAAAAGGGGGCCCTAGAATGGTATTCACTATTACCCGAGCACTTATTAAATTCCTTCGAGATGCTCGCGGATTCTTTTATCAAGGCCCATGCTGGGTCCAAGAAGGTGCATGCTCGAAAGACCAACATATTTAGAATTGTGCAAGGAGAGTCCGAACTACTACGAGAGTTTGTGACCAGATTTCAGAAGGAAAGAATGTTGCTACTGGCCATGCCAAATGAATGGGTAGCCGAGACATTTACTAAGGGGCTGAACCCGAGGAGCTCTGACGCTTCCCGAAAACTGAAAGAAAGTATTGTCAAGTTGCAGGCAATGACATGGGCGGATGTCCACAACCACTACAAATCGAAGATAAGAATAGAAGATGACCGGCTCGGTTTCTCGGTGTCAATCAAGGGTCGGGACTGAGAGAAGAATAATGAAAAGTTGAAGGATGATTTTGACGCAGATCGACGGTCTACTAAAGGTCGGTTTTTTCCCTACGAAAGGGCCAAAGGATGCGGTAGAGGTTTTCGGTCTGCGGACAGGTTCGCTATCGATAAGAGAGCCGACCGTGGCCAGAATAATAAATCGTTGCAGGATAAAAAGATCAGGTTCCCAGGATTTCACCTACCCAGACTGTCCGAATACAATTTCAACGTCAGCATGGTGGAACTGGTATCGACTATGATGAACATTAAGGAAGCACGGTTCCCAAGGATGATAAGATTTAACCCTAGTCAGAGGAATCCTATCCTATGGTATAAGTGTTGCACCCTATTTTGCACTTAGTCAAAACAAGATTCAACTTGTGATTTCTCTATTGTTGATGAAAGAGAGTCGCCACCTAATATTTAAAGGTATACTCTTTATTAGTCTGCTAACGGTGAGATTATGGGTAAGGGTTCTTATTCTTCTAAGGGAAAGGTATTAGGCACCCCTTAAAATCTACCTGAGGTAGCTCCATAAGACTTAGACTAGATTTAGAATCAATTATTTATACTATGCCTAGTGTTCTAAAGCTTACCATATATTAGGGCATAATTCCTAAGTGGTTTCAAAAAATGGATATAAAGAGGAGTCTTAGAAAAAATGATGTCACTTCACATATGTTTAAAAAGAGAATAAAGGTATATATGATGTTTATATGAAAATATGTAAAAAGAAGAGCTAAATTAGAGGACGTTTTGTCTTTTTAGAAGCATGGAGGTGCTCTAGCGAAATGCTATGAAAGTAAGCCTAAGATATACCTTGGCTTTTAAACATTTGAAGGGGGCTGTTTGAAAATCTTTTTGGGTGATATCACCTTTTTTTCCACATGACTTGATTTTCCTTTTGAAGATAAAGCTTTTGTTTCAAATCTGATTCTTTTCTTTTTGAAAGCGGAGCTGCCGTTTCTTACTAAGCTTTGAGGGCTTCAAAATCCTTTAAGAAAAAAGTTAGTGGAAGCATAGTAATTTAATGATATAAATAACTTATAATTAGCGAATGGGAGATTAGTTGCTAACTAATTCTTCTTTTAATCCTATGTTATTTAGGTCTTGCCTAAGTTTTATATGATTTAATATATAAAGTAAAGCATTCAATTCAATTTATAATTTTTATATACATGTGAGATAAAACAACAGCAAAATGCGACAAGGCAGTAAGGATAAGGTTACGAAGAAGTAAATAATAAAGGAGTTAAAGGAGAGTATTGGACTCTGGTATTTGGACCTCAAAGAGGCAGGCCCAATAGTGATCGGGACGGCGACATCTCACTTCGAGTTTCCAGAAATATAGCAATGCTGGCCTTGGGCCTGGGTTCCTCAAGAACTCAGCCAGCCCAAAAAAATGTACATATTCAAAAAAAGAAAGAGAAGGTCATTAGATACCTATTTTATACATCAATCATACATGAAAACACATAGGTAAATGATT